GGGGGGGGGGGGGGGGGGGGGGTGGAAGGGACGTGGCGACGGAGCGCTCTGGTACGGATGCAGTTGGCGAGCCCAAGAACGTCGCGGGGGGCAACGCATTTGCCGAAGATTGTGGCGTTGGTGGCTCCAACTTGCCGACACCGTCGAGCATGCAGGTGGTCGCTGGCGCTTCCGCGGGGGCGGCGGAAGCATCGGGGGGCGGCGGGGCACTTACGCAAGGGCGAGCGTTCTTGACGGGGGTCCCTTCGACTCACATCAAGACGGAACGCCCGGTGAATCAAGCCACACCGACGGGTGCCGTCTCGACAATCGTTTCGGACCTTCAAGGCATGGAGGGCTCCTGTCCCTCCGATTCTGCCACCCTTGCGAGCGGGGTCACGGCAGGAGGTTGGGGGGGCGACAACGCGGGACTTTGCGTGGGTAAACTTCCGACAGGGGGTGGAAGCAGCGCGGAAGAGGGGGGGAAGGCCAAGCAGGCTGAGGAGGCTTCACAGTCCTGCCACGACGGGCCGCTCGCCTCGTCCATTGCGAACTCCTCTGTCACCGACTCGACAGACTACCCCCAGAATCTGAGCGCCACAGATCATTCCACGGAAGCTGTAATAGCAGCGGCAGAGCAGCCGTGGTCGGACACGTCGGAGTGCTGCGGTGGCAGCTGCTGGGCCGCCGACGCTAGCGCTGACAGTGAGGTCCTCAAGAGCTGGCAGATGGGCACTAGTTGCTGCTCACTTAATCCTGCGGTTGCTGCTGCTAGCGATGGGGAAAGCCACCGTAGCGCTTGTGGTAAGGGTGGAAGGGTGGCAGGCAGCAGCGGGGGCGGTGAGAGTTCTATGTTTCCAGCAGGGTTAGAAGATTCTGACGGCAACGGCAGCAACCCCCACAACAACAACAACGGCGGCGATAGCAACAACGGCGGCGATAGCAACAACGAGAACGGTGGTCCGATCAACCGCATGCGGTCGCATATCTCCTCCCACGCCGATCCTAGCGAAAATCAGCACCGCCGCCATCCTCGGGTTGGGGGGGCGACCTGGCGGCTAACTCCCAGCAGCGGAGATGACGACGACGACGCGCTAAGAGGAGACGATCTCGTTAGTCGAGACCCCCGTAGTAGAAGCGGGAGCGATGACGGGTCGGGGCATGGGCGAGGCAGGCGAGCGGCGGATCGGTTGCTTCCCGCCGGGCATGAGCAGGCCAACCGTTCTGCTTCCGAGGGGAGACCGCGGCGGCATTTGTGGCGGGAGCCTTGTGTTGTAGTCTCCGGCAGCAGGAAGAGGATGACGACACCGAGGTGATGGTGGTCCAAAGTGTGGGACGAAGATAGCTAACGGAGACCGAGTTGGTTTTATTCTCAGGTTCAAACGCAGTTGATCGTACGAGTTACATAGCCGTTTGGTTTCTCGTGACGCCAACGAAATTTTCAGGGAAACCCAAAGATATCCCCTGTTTCTTCGGTGTGGCGACCTCGCTACCAGGGCCCAAATCGTGCTACAGTAGCGCTCCTTCTCTCTGCTAATCCATCCATGGCTTGCACACTGCATATGATTTTCAAGCCATCTGGTCTCAGACAACCGGAAAGAAGAAACAAACGGACATCGTTGACCCCACTTATTGGGCGAAGCGTAGGTCGGAATGAAGTCCTAAAAAAAGATGAAGTTTCTGTCCGAAATGCGTACAGGTCGAAATCGTTTGCTTGAAGCCTCCTGCGCCTTGGGGCTTGTCCGTTCCACACACTCTTGGCGACAATCAGATCTTGTTCACCCCAAGGAGGAGACGGCACCGTCGCCAGTGCCATTCCTCCCGTGCAACCGCCGACGTGGAGCCGGCCTTCAAGAAAACGACCGAGCTATGGAAGGGAGACGCTCGTAGAGGACGAACAGAAATCAGCGACCACAGGGGGTGGCGTGAGCAGCAGGAGGGGGGGGAGGAGATCAGAAGAAGGCGATGCCACGCACCCACCAACGGGGCCCGTGGTTGTTGGCAGTGAATTGGACGGCGATTCCGAAAAAGGCAAGGTCTGCACCAGCACCACCAGCAGAAACACAACTCCCATCACCGCGCCATCTACTCGCTGGCAAGACGGGAGAGACGTTGTCGAAAGGCGAGGGCAGCAGGAGCGGAACACGTCGCACACGCCTCAGGATTTAAGCGAGAAGAAGAGCGGTGACCCCACGTTTGGGATGACCAGCGACTTCACAGCCGTTAGCCACGGCAGAGTGGGGAACGAAGCACCAACGACAACAGGGAGGGTCACCAATTCAGCACCAACAGAAATAGGCCGTCGAGGCCACCCGAGGGCCACCATACATCAAAGCCAGCAGCATAGACCTTGTACAGGAGCGCCCAGCCATGGTTGGAGGAGTTTTGTGGGCCCGGGAGGCGACCACATGATGCCTACTGATAGTGCCAAGCATAATCGAAATTGCGTTAGCAAAGTCGACCCAACAGTATTGTCCAAGCTTCCTGCGGCTCACGACGTTTTTTTCGGAAGCGAAAGACATTATGGAGCAGTCCCAGGCGCTGTTGGTGAAGGCAAGGGAGTTATTGAAGGTGCTTCAAGTGCAGCGGATAGTTGTCCTCCCCCCATGACCGCCAGGTGCGGCATCAATGCTAGTAGCGGGGTGAGAAGTCGTAAGCAGCCAGCGGTAGTTCGGAGGTTGAAGATCACCCTCCAGGCGCTGAACGACCCACACTCGGATGCCTAACTTCAAGCCGATATTGCCGAGACTTCGATGGTTGCGCACGACTGCTATGCCTTCTTGCAGACAGCTGGTACGATCAGCAAGCAACTGCCGAAACGAGAAACACCATGAACGTTGCCGTGTGCATTGGATCGTCTTGTACAGTATCATTTCTCAAACAAGTGTCAGCCGTGTGGCCCCATTCCCCCAGGCTGTTGGTTGGCTCCCTGTGTAAAGCAGAATAGCTTACGGTCGTTAACATCCTGATGTTTTTTGTGAAGACAGAGGAATTTGAAGCGTACCATGGTAGTCGACGTGTAGATCTCTAGATACGTAGTTTGAGTTCTTGTTGTTAGCGGACCTGGAGGCGTGTTGGTTCGCATGTCTCGGGAATCTATGTATTCTCCACGGCAAGGGCACACTGAAGATATGCTTGCTCACTTTACGGGTATTGTGGGGTCCAGCCTGCAGACGAAAAATTTGGTTGTTGGCAATAAAAAAGAAAGGAGAAAATGCAACAAAGTAGCCCACAGGAGGAGGTACTGGATGGACATCAGGGTCTTGAACTCGAAGAACCAAACAATTTCCGCTCCGTTTTCTCATAGGAGAAATTCACCTGGTTTTTCTAACCGGTCCCAGACGTGAAGTGGCTGGCCGGGGTGCCTTCGTTGTGCATGATAATTACTACTTGCGGTTGTTGGGAACCTTTACCAATGACGTTAGCAGGTAGCACATTATCATAGCCTAAGCCCAACCCCGAGACAAATATGGTGAGACCTCCTACCGTACGCATTCATGACTCTTTTGTTCCCTGCGAGAAGAAAGAGCCACAAAGAAATATACACGGAACCTTGTACATATTCCTAACAGCTCCTGTGTACTTCCAGGATGCTAGACATAACATCTCACCTAACAGTACACATCATGTGCATAGTCTACAATTGTACTACATGTACTGTACATTAAGTCTTTGCATACTGTGGAACCCTCGTCCAATTGAGGGAGTTCGTTTGTGCTCTGAGGAGCCCTCGTGTTAGTTTCCTAACCTCAGAGATGCAAGACCGTTGGTTGGCACACCACACAGCTCTTCATTATTCAGGACTGACCTCGACGAGGCAAGCCACATATTCATCGTCGAAGTCACGCCGCATTCCTCTTCATACACGTCATACACGTCGACATGTGGTTCGTCGATTTGAACAAGGCGTATGATTCGGTTGACCGAGAGATGCTATGGAAGGTGCTGGCGAGGGCCGGGATTCCCGCGAAGCTGATCGAAGTCATCCGCCAATTCCACGATGTAATGCGGGCCCGGGTGCGCATGGACGACGGAGAACTATCGGACTGGTTCTTCGTGACACAGGGCGTGCGACAAGGATGTGTACTATCCCCACTGCTGTTCACCATCTTCTTCGCCGAGGTCCTCAAGGTCGTTNAAGTCATCCGCCAATTCCACGATGGAATGCGGGCCCGGGTGCGCATGGACGACGGAGAACTATCGGACTGGTTCTTCGTGACACAGGGCGTGCGACAAGGATGTGTACTATCCCCACTGCTGTTCACCATCTTCTTCGCCGAGGTCCTCAAGGTCGTTGCCATCCGATTCAGCGAGGATGATGTTGTTCTGCGGAGCCTGGTGTGCTTGGAGGAGGGGAAGACGGAAGCGGGGGGGGGGAGGAGACACCCCTTGACCGAGTGCGGAGGGCAGCATGGGGGATGCTGTATGCCGATGATGCCGGCGTTGTATCGAGGTCTGCAGAAGGACTGGCGAGAATGATGATCATCATCGTTGAGGTGTTCGGGGAGTTCGGGCTAGCGGTGTCGGAGAAGAAGACGGAGACGCTCCTGATGCGCGCAAAGGACAAGCCGACTACAACATCACAGCCCGCCCCGCCTCCACCACTGACCATCGAGCCGCGGGACAGAAATACGCCCAGACGACCGAGTTCCGGTACCTCGGTGGCCTCGTCAACAACATGGCGACCTCACCCGGGAGATCAACTACAGGAGCAGAGGAGCGTGGGCGTGCCTCAGGCGATATGGCCGGGAGCTCTTCGACAGACCGCAAGCGCCATTCCGACTCAAGATCCGCCTGCTCCAGGCGGAGGCGATGGAGGCACTGCTGTACGGTTGCATGACATGGTCACCACTCAGCGGCCACTATCAGACGCTGCGGTCGATACACCACCGACTGCTCCTTCGAGTTATCGGGTACAAGCGCAAGAAAGACACCTACCGGCAGCTCTCTTACGCCCAGACGCTGAAGAGGGTCGAATGCCAGAGCGTTGAAGCCACGATCCGACAACGACGCCTACTGTTCGCGGGAGCATTGGCAAGGCAGCAGCCGGACGGGCGACTCCCGAAACGACTGATGTTCGGTGAACCGGCAGGGGGGGAGAAGCGACGTAGGGGGGGACAGGAACAGAACTGGCCAAAGTGTGTGCTCGACGACCTGAAGGCATTCGGGGCCGACTACGGATCTACGAAAACCGATCCATGTTGTCTCGGAATCCCGGTACCGAAAGACACGGCACCGAAGTTAAAGTGGACGGAAGCCGCGAAGGTAGAGGGGGGAGTACCCTGGCATGCGGCGGTGCTGCAGGGAACTGAGAGGTTCATGACCTCCTGGCACGAGAAGGAAGAAGAGGCCAGGCGACAACGGGCGCTCAAACGAAACCACAAGCCACCAACCAATGGGACGGGAGGGGGGCAGGAGACGGACGAGACGGCGAGGGAAGAAAGCAAACGAGAAGAGACGGACCGAGTGGCGCGATACGTGCCGGATTGAATTTCTTATAGCCAATTCCCCCCCCCCCAACGCTGCACCATTGCACCAACCCCCCACTAATGATGACGCACCATTACAATGTATCGCTGGTTGGTGGCCATGTTTGCGTGTTTGCTTGTCGTTAGTGGTCTCTTCACCGTGTGCCTTTTTCTGTCTCTTATTTCTTGTTGTTTTCAGCCTGGTCCCTTTTTGTCCTCGCTCTTTTTATTTCATTTTCTTTCCTTGCTGTTTTCTTTTATTTCTTCTCTTGTTCTCTTTTTTTTTTCTTCCTAATATCACACAACAAATCCATCTCTGTCCTCCTCTGTCTATAGAAATACTTTTTCTGTGCCAGATGGCCTTGTCTCTGCTTGCGTTGTGAAGTACCAAGATTGAACCAAGGGGGTGTACCTCATTCTCTCCGGCCCGTGATGGTGACTCCTAGTGTCAGTTGTTACCTCGCATAGCGCGCAGAGGGAGTGGAGGACTCCAGAACATCTGTCGTTGATTTCTATTGACGTGCGGACCCCTCGGGCCCTCGGGGCCATTTTATGTGAGTGTAGTCTAACTTTTTAGGGTAAGTTAGCCTGCGACCACGGGAATCGACCGCGTCGAGTGTTGGATCAGTACGGACATACGAAGGTACTGGGTAGAGAGATATCGGGGCGGTTATTAATGTGAAGACAACAACAACAACAACAACAACAACAACAGCAACAACAACAACACGTCATACGTGAACCGACACTTATTCCTCTAGACTAGAACCAATCATGAATGACCTTGTAAACTGCCGCAATATAGTTCTGTATCCTACTTTATTCCACAATACGCAGAACGTGAACTGGCAACAAGATCACGACCGACCACAGGGAGGGCAGGACTCCCATCATTCGACTCCTGGAAGCAAAAGAAGAGCTTTTACACACAGCAGTATGCTTCATTAACTATCGGAGGGTGCCTCATGTAGCAGATGATGATGGGTAGTGCGTGAACAACACGCAGGTGACGAAGGCGTCCGTACTTGTATGCGGAGCATGTGGGTGTACGTCCAACAATCACATCGGGACCAACCACAGCAATACAGAATGCCTGCCGAACGAGTCCAGTCCGTGCAATCAGTGCTGCTGTGCGTGCTGCTTACAAGGACCGTGGTATGGGGGTGCCTCGTCGGAGGCTATTGGATGACATAGTGAGCAAGTGTTTATATATGTTGGCGAGGAACGGGGCGCGAGAGTGCAAGAGGGGGTGCAAGTTCAGCGTGTTGTGGACTCGCAAGTTACCATCCAATCCAATCACCCCAATCCAACGGATGATGCGGCGGAACCTCGAACGGTCCAAAAACCGTTTCATTATTTCACCCGAATAGATTCCGTGATACGACAAGCAAAATCTTCAAAAAAAAATCACGCGAGAGAACACTTGAGCCGAGCCACGTGATCTATCCAGGCCGAAGCGCAACACGCCGAGAAAGAGAGTAATAGGTAGATCCTGGTGCCAACCAAGAGTACAGCCTCTTTTCGGCATCCGCGGGTAGACGGATGAAGAGGATTGTCTGTCTTGTTGCTGAGACGAAAAGAACCGCGCATACCGAAACTGGCCCAATAGAGAAGAGGGATAGTGCTCCGCCAGGGCTCTGGTTCATGTTCCATCTATAGTTTCGGGTCATCCATTGTTCCTCCCGAGTAAGGGAGAAGGTGAGTATTGTTGTCATCCGAGCATCACCGAGAGAAGAGTTCAACGTGCTGACGACGAGGCGTGGCTGTTTCGCTCATTTAATGAAGAAATAAGGTGTCAGTGAGGCGGCGGTGCTGATACTGACGTTTTCGCGGCAAGGTGGCAGCTACTGCATTCGAGCAGCCCAAGGCTTGCACGATGGAGGGTCGTGAGGGGGTCCATCTTGGGGGTCGTCATCTAGCAGCTGATGACAGCGCGAGCGGTACTGAGCATGTGCACGGCGAGCCGAGCTACCCCGAGGTGATCTGTGTGTTACCAACCCCCGCAAACTTCCCTCGGCTCTATGTGTCGGTATTTGGATATTTCCGCATGTACGCGAGTTAAAAACGAGCGCGAGGGTGAGCTCTCCATACACGGCGTGCCGGGTTTTCTGTGTGCAGTTGGTTTGAGTCCTGCGCTGACTGCCTACATGGGAGTTATTTTGAAACGGCTTGGGAGCGGGTTCACGGCAGTCTAATCGTGGAGACTTTCTTTCGAAGGGTTTCAGTCTGACAGACCACTTTCCACAATGATTTCAGCACCTCCGCCTGGCGTTACTTACTTTTTTTTGTTTGGTTTGTGGGGGCTACAACTATGCATATGGATTTGGACAAAACAAAACTCATCTTGGTCATTGTCTACAGTACAGATTGCGCCATCACTCGTGAAAATCTAAATTTGGCCGAGACTCGTTCCTTATATTGCCAATGGAGTATCCCCACGGCGACGATATGGGTTTGAGTGTAGGATTAATGACTGAGAACCTGCTCTCAGGGCCAAGTTCTACTTCTTACATAGTGGTACAATTTGTATTTTTTGAGGATCAAATTCTTAACTGCTACCTTCTTACGTGATGGCGTGTTATGTGGTGGTCTATATTTGAAGAACTGTAGGACTGAGTGATTTCGTAAAGCCTTGGGGTCAACCACCTTCCGTGATGCCCACCTTTAGCCCCATGTAGATTTTGTGTTCTTTGTGGGTGCGTACTATAGGTGCGTCTCCTTCTCACAAGCATGCTGTGTGACATGAAGAGGGTGTAGTACTTCGCCAAGAATTCCCCGCGCACAAATTTCAGAAGCATCAGTGTCCCCTAGTCAACGGAAAGTGTGCAATGTAAGGATGGGGGGGGTGCTGTGAGAATCCCAACACTGGCGCTGCAATAGTCCATCACAGTCGGTGTCTGTCGCCAGAACTATTTGCTCTCTTCACACCACCTTTACACCCTAATATCTTGCTGTAAGCTTCTCCGACACAGTTACATGCCCGTTTTGTCGGTGTCGCATCACTGCGCATTCGACTCCCTCGTCCTTCGGCGGGCCGGTTCAACAGCAGATGAGGCCGAGTGGCGGCAAGTCATCCCGTTTTTCATCCATGGCTGGAGCCACTGACAACAGCGCCATCAGCCACAAAAACGTTCCGGGCCCAGCCAATGGCCTTCTACTCGCTCCGTCTCGCGATTCGCCGCGGTTCTCGTGGGATCCCAGAGGTTAGGGCAGAAGCAAGACGGTATATCGATGTCAGCTTGGCAGTTCGACAGACCCTCATGTGTTTGGCCAACCGCGAGGATAGCCATGTCTTGTAAGAAGACCATGCGCCATGGCGAGGTGTGCTTGGATTTCCCAACTCCGATTGGCCCTTTCATTCCTCTCCATGTCACCGTGATTGAAACAAGCTTGAATGTCACGTTCATGACTTACTCCGCCCCCCCTTTTTCGCGCTGTTGTGGGTTTGTTGTCATTGCAACTGTTCCACCTGTTTCGCTGCCTAGGAAGTTGCAACTGTCGTCTAGGGAGTCAGCGAACCACGCATCTGTTGTCGTCGATCTCGTGTCCAAATACCGCGTCGTTCTGACCCCTTTCCCATACGTCCGCCTCCGAGACCGAATGCTTACCGAAAGTCTGTCTCGTGAATACCTCCCCAACACACCGAACCTATCTTGACCGCAGTGCACGACGACTACCACGTTCACCAGCAGCAGCGCCAGCAGCACCAGCAGCACCAGCAGCAGCAACAACAACAACAACAACAACAACAACAACAACAACAACAACAACAACAACAGCGCCAGCAGCACCAGCAGCACCAGCAGCAGCAGCAACAACAACAACAACAGCAGCAGCAGCAGCAGCAGCAGCAACAGCAGCANCCAGCAGCAGCATCAACAACAACAACAACAACAACAACAACAACAACAACAACAACAACAACAGCGCCAGCAGCACCAGCAGCACCAGCAGCAGCAGCAACAACAACAACAACAGCAGCAGCAGCAGCAGCAGCAGCAACAGCAGCAGCAGCAGCAACAGCAGCAGCAGCAGCAACAGCAACAGCAGCAGCAACAGCAGCAGCAGCAGCAGCAGCAGCAACAACAACAGCAACGACAACAGCAACACCACCAGGGACCAGCAGAACCAAGCTCGTACCGCAATCACCTCTGGGATGGAGTGTCAAGGAGCTACGGCCACAACCTAGCATCCCGCGCCATCAACAGTGGTCTCCTTTCCACACCTCCCCCCTTTCTCCACGGCCATGAAAGCGGTGGAGATGGCGCACGGCAGGACTACAACAGCTCCGCCTCCCGTGGAATGGTTCCCGCCGCAGGGAGCTGCTCGGTGCACGACGACGTCCTCAGGAACGCCGTCGCTACCGCGGCCGCGGTAGCTGCGGCC